CCAGCCTGGCCGTCTCCTCTCTCTCTAGTGCCTCCCGTCTCCCTCTCCTGCTGCTCGTCCTCCCCTCTCCTGCAGCTCCTGCTTCCCCCTCCTGCTGCCTCCCTGCTGCCTCCCGTCTCCCTCTCCTGCCGCTCGTCCTCCCCTCTCCTGCTGTTCGGACCTGCCTCTTCGGAGGCAGGCCGGTCCATAGTCCACGGTCCCCTCTCCTGCTGCTCCTGCTTCCCTCTCCTGCCTCCCTCTCCTGCCTCCCTCTCCTGCTGCTCCCTGCTGCCTCCCGTCTCCCTCTCCTGCCGCTCGTCCTCCCCTCCCCCGCTGCTCCTCCCCGCGGCCACGGCGGGCTCGCGCCGTGCCGACGTGGCGGCCGCTCAGGTGCGGGCGCTCAGGGTTGCGTGCCCCCGGCTGCCGAGAGGCAAGTCGGGCCTGTCCCTCTGCAGGAGGAATATCCAAAGACAGGCAGGAAATATCCAGAGGACGATGTTTGGAGCATTTTCTGTTAGATTTTTGGGCATTAGCGGAATATTTTGTATCCTTCGCCCCAAATCCGCCTGTAGGGGGACATGCCCGACCCAAGCCCAGAGGCGGCCAGTGCGGAACGGGTTGGCGACAGAGAAGCCGCCGATCGTTCAGGGGTCGCCACGACACGAGCCTGCCGCACTCCTCCCCACGAGCAGCAGTCTCTCGCACTTCCTTCGGCGACGCGTGATCTTTGGCACGGCCACTCCCGCCACCGCTTCACCGTGTGATTTCCTCAGGTTTCGGACGGATGTTAGCCTCTTGGGGGCGGCCTTGGGAGGCTCCGTGGCCGCATGGAGCCGTCTCGGGGTGGTCTTAAGTCGGGCCTGTTCAAGAATAGCAAAAAAAATAGTGGACGATTTTTGACTATTTTTGACTATTTGGGAGTATTTTTTGACTGTCTTTAATTCTTCGCCCGAAATCCGCCTGTAGGGGAACATGCCTGACCTAAGGGTGGTCTTGAGGCCCCTGGGGGACATCTTGAGCCATCCTGGACAATCTTGCGCCATCGTGGAGGCCATCTTGAACTATCGGGTGCCATCTCGGAGCCACGTCGGCCAGAAAATCTCCCGAGGATGCCCCCCGAGATGCCAACATCTTCGAACAGCCATTGCTTTTTTCCATGATTTTGTCTATGCGCGAAGGGGGTGTCCTTTGACGACCCCGCCCCTCTGGAGCCAGACCATTTGCCTCTTGGGGCGCTCTTGTGGCGCTCTTGGGACACTCTTGGGCACTCTTGAGGCCATCTTGGAGCTTTTCTGGATCCCTCTGTGGGCTCTCTTGGACCATCTTGGAGCCATCTTGAGGCCTTAGAAACCCACTGGAAGCTAAATGACGAGGCGTCAAACACCACTGATTCCCCAACGGTATTGCAGGGAGTTGGGCCTCTCGGGGGCCTCCTTGGGAGGTTCCGTGGCCACTCGAGCCTTCTTGGCAGGGTCTTAGCGCCTCTCAGAGACATCTTGGAGACCATCTGGAGCCATCCTTTCTTTTGCTATCTTGGAGGCCATCTTGGGCTACCTGGAGCCCTTTGGAGCCATCTTGGGCCACGTTGGACGCTCTAACTCTTCGCGAAACCCTCCGTCCAGACCCAGGGGTAGGCTGAGGGTTAAACCCCTCCCCGAAGGTGAAGGAGAGGGTTGAACGAGAAAGTGCCTTGGACCACCTCAGACCAGAGGGTTTGTGGGATTGTAAGTGGTTGGCTCGCCCGCGTCATCCTTCTTGGGCGGGAAGCATATGAATTTCCACGGCTTGGCGTTCTCGACTCCTCGGCCGCGTCTCCATGGATACAGGGCGACTTCGCACGGATGTCTCGCGCCGAGCGTATCCACGGCATCGTGAATCCAGGAGATCGCGCTTTGATGCCTAGAAAACCGCGAGGGAATGGATATGGATGTGCTCCTCGCTCGTGAATCCGGCCATCGTCGCCGTTGTCGTCGTCGACAGAATCCACCGTCAGCAACGTCGTCATCATCGCCGTCATCGCCGACCTCATTGGTATCGTCACTGTCGCCCTCTCCTTCTCCTCGTCGCCATGATCGTCGTCATTGTCGCTGTTATCGCCGTGGTCCTCGTCGTCATCAAGCCTGGCCCATCCAGTAATCGCATGGCCGAACCATGGCGCAACGGCCGCCCAACCTACCGTGCGTGTGCATTTCCAGCGGAGGGCTAAGCTAACATTGAAAACATCAGCCTTCCCCTGTGTGCTGGGGGTTCCGCCGTTGCGCCCTGGCTGCCGCTTCTTCCGGTCCCGCTCCTCCTCGATCGATTGCGGGGCTGATCGAACCAAGAGGTGCGACGACCAGCTACTTTCTCCAGCGCTCGAACTTTCGCTGCCCGAAGTCGCTTTTCAGGAGTCGACCAGACTACTGCTGCATTCGTATGCTTCAGGACGTTCCTTCCTTCGCTGCTCCTCGCTCCTCTTTTCTGCTTGACGAGCTGCCGTCCTCTTCTTCCTCCCTCCCCTCTCCCTCCTCCGTTCCTCCCCTCTGTCCCTTCTCCGTCCTCCGTCCCCCCCTCCCCGTGCGTCCGTACCCCCCTCCCTCCTTCCTCCGTCCTCCCTCCCCTCCCTCCTTTCCTGCTCCGTCCTCCCTTCTCGCTCCGACTTCTGGCTTCCGACGATCGACGAAAACAGACGGAGGACGGAGGACGGAGGACAGAGGACAGACGACGACGACGACAGCGATGAGGACGACGATGACGACGACGACGACGACGACGACAACGACGACAGCGGCGGCGGCGACGACGACGACGACGACGATGATGATGATGATGATGATGACGATGATGATGATGACGATGATGATGACGATGATGATGATGCTGATGCTGATGATGATGACGACGACGACCACGACGATGATGATGATGATGATGATGATGATGATGATGATGATGATGATGATGATGATGATGATGATGATGATGATGAGGATGAGGATGAGGATGAGGATGAGGATGATGATGATGATGATGATGATGATGATGATGATGATGATGATGATGATGATGATGATGCTGATGATGATGATGATGATGATGATGAGGATGGATGAGGATGATGATGATGATGATGATGATGATGATGATGATGATGATGATGGTTGTGGTGATCATGAGTGACGAACGACGAATGACGCGCGACGGGCAAGGGACGACGCCGGCCGACGACCAGCAACGGACGACGACCGCCCGAGAAAGTCGGGCGACGGCCCGGCGCGCGCAGCTCCTGGACGAGCTGCGGGCCGGCCAGAACGCGGGCGGGTCCATCAGCGTGGCGTGCTCCACGGACCCCGAGGAGGGTGCCCCCCGCGCCCGCCCGGAGGCCCGCTCGGAGGCCCAGCCCGCCTGAGTCGGGGGTGACACGTCGATTGGTGAATTGTGCGTTTTCGGTTCTCGAGAGGGCGCCGTGGCCGTTATTTTCCAGGCTTGCGCCCGCCAGGTTTGGACCTCAGGTCGTTTTCACTAAACCACGTTTTACTAAAGGGGGGTCTGTCCATCCCCGGCTGAGGCGGAGGACCGTGGTGGCTCGGGCGGTCTTCGTCTTCCCCCGATTCACTTTTCGCCATCTTTCAGGAGGGAAAGAAACACACAGACACGATTCATCGTCGACTCCCAAGAAGGCATGGGAAAATATGGGAAGTGGAGGGGAAGACGAAAACCAAGAAAATATGGGTGTATTTATTCGGGTGCATTTATTCGTGTGCCTCTGGGCCCTTTCAATCTTGGCTTAAGGTACTGACGCATGCTGGCGTGAGGGCCCGCCCCGAGGAGGGAAGTCTCATCGTCACCGCCCAGAGGTCTGGTGGCCGCTCGAAGGGTGCTTTGCTTAAGAGGCCTGGGGCCGTCCAGGATACAAGGCGAGAATCTCCAGCTCCTCTCCTCCTCCTCCTCCTCCTCCTTCTCGGAGAAGAAGAAGGTGGAGGAGGATATGGAGGAGGAGATGGAGGAGATGGAGCAGGAGGAGGAGGAGGAGGAGGAGGAGGAGGAGGAATAAGAGGAATAATTAGACTATTGCTATTACATATTGCTACGACTAACAATAGCAGTAGTTTACCAATACTGCAACTAACATGGCAAGAAGAAGTCTGAGACGAATCTTATTGATAGTGGTAATCGTTATAATGCTATCAATAACGACCATAAGCAAAATACCAATACGATTAATAATACGAACACGAGTACTACTAGGAAGACGAATGCGAATCATACTAAGGGCACGAATGCTAATACTCGGAAGAATAAACATACTCATAAGTGGAATAAGACGAATCTGGTGAACAATGCGAATGGGAAGAATACTAACACGAATCGTAAGGACAATGACCACAAGAAGAAGAGGAGGAGGAGGACCACGAGGCGGGGGCGGAGGTGGTGGAGGAGGAGGAGGAGGAGCCGGAGGTGGAGGAGGAGGAGGAGTAGGAGGTTGACGAGGAGGAGGGGGGGAGACGGTGGTAGAGGAGGACGAGGAGATGGAGGAGGAGGAGGAGCAGGAAGAGGAGGAGGAGGAGGAGGAGGAGGAGGAGGAGGAGGAGGAGGAGGAGAAGGAGGAACGTTTTGGAACATTTGGGCACGCACAGCGTGCATAGGGGTAGGAGGAGATAAGCACAACGCGGATCCCAGCGCTCTTAATACGAAGAAGGAGAGCGCCCCATTCGTCGTCGCTGTCGTCGTCGTCGTCGTCGTCGTCGTCGTCGTCATCATCGTCGTCGCGTCATCGCGGTCGTCATCGTCGTCGCGTCATCGCGTCTCGTCGCTGTCGTCATCGTCATCGCCTCAGAACGCTCTGCAGGAGAGGTCCAGGGGTCGAGGTTCCAGGACCGAGGATTGCGGATGTTTTGACATTTTATGGGTCTTCTGGGCAGAATTCGGGTGGCTTTTCCATGGGTTTCCAGGAGCCTACGGGGAGTTCTGGAGAGCTCTGGCTGGGCTCCCCAAGGGGTGGATTCTGGAGGGGAGGAAGGGCAGCGGTGGGCGTCGTCGCCATGGTCTTCGTGGCGGTGGTTGTCTCCCTCTCCCGTTCCTCCCTCGCCTATCCCCCTCCCTCTCCTGGTCCTCTCCTCCCGCCTCCCCTTCTCCCACTGCCCCGCCTCCCTCCTCGCCTCTACGTCTTATCCCCATGCCCCCGACGTCGTCAGCTCGTGCACGATGTGGGCCCCCAGAGTCCCGAGGAGGTGAGGGAGGACGAGGGGGGAGGAGGATGAGGGAGGATGTGGGTTCTTGATGGCCCTGGGGCCGTGGAAGCGGCGGCCAAGAGGACGAGAGGTCGTGAGAGAGAGAGAGAGAGAGAGAGAACGAGAGAGGAGGGAGATGCCCGTCGCGCCTTGAGAGCAGACGCCCGTCGCGACTTGTCCGCGACCGACCTGGGGGGTCTGGGCTCCTGGAGGTCTCCGGAGGCCCCCGCAGGACCCCCGTATCGAGGAAGGAGGGACCAGCCGGACCCGGCAGTGGGCGTTTGCGAAACGGCCTTGGGCCTTGCCGAAACGGCCCTGCCATGTTCGATGCCTTCTGTGGGTGCGTTTGCCGAACGGCTTCGCGTGTCGGGGTGATCATGATGGGGGTGGATTTGCTGCACTGTATCTCGAAGACCCTTTCCCCTTCCCGCCGCACCTCTCTCCCAGGATGCACCTCCTGGATCTCAGACTCGGCGCTGGTATCTCCCTGGTCGAAGACTGGTTAGACTTCGCTCGATCCCGCCTAGCAATCCCGCTCAATCCCGCCCAATGCGGCTTCATACCGTTCAATCTCAGACTTCATCCCAAGATTCGTTCGGCTCGGTGGCCCCTCGATCTGGCTTCGTATCCCTGACTTCCGTTCCCACGAAGGTCTGCCCCGAGAAGTGGCCTCCTGCTCCCTCCCCCGAGCCGCCCGCCCGAGGGGGAGCGCAACAAGGCCCTCATCGTGGTCGACCTCGGCGATCAGGCGCGCCCCGGGCCCGACGGCGAGGAGGAGGAGGGGGCGGGAGGAGGAGGAGGAGGAGGGGGCAGGAGAAGAAGGAGGAGAAGCAGGAGGAGGAGGAGGAGGAGCAGGAGGAGGAGGATGATGATCATGATGAGGAGGAGGAGGAGGAAGAGGAGGAGGAGGAGAAGGGGGAGGAGGGGGCGGGATGATGATGATGATGATGATGATGATGATGATGATGATGATGATGATGATGATGATGATGATGATGATGGTGGTGGTGGTGGTGGTGGTGGTGGGTGTGGTGGAGGTGGTGGTGTGGTGGAGGGTGGTGGTGGTGGTGGTGATGATGATGATGGTGGTATGGCGATGATGATGACAATGACGATGACGATGACGATGACGATGACGATGACGATGATGATGATGATGTTGATGATGATGATGATGATGATGATGGATGATGATGATGATGATGATGATGATGATGATGATGATGCTAATGCTGATGCTGCTGCTGATGATGATGATGATGATGAGGATGATGATGATGAGGAGGAGGAGGAGGAGGAGAAGAGGGAGGAGGAGGAGCAGGAGGAGGAGAAGGAGAAGGGGGGAGCTGGGGAGGAGGAGGAGGAGGAGGAGGAGGAGGAGGAGGAGGAGGAGGAGGAGGAGGCGGCTGGTGGCGAGGATCTGTAGGGGCGCGCGGGATCACCGCAGGAGGGGTCCCAGGCTGATGGTCGGGGATGGGCTAGCTTGGGGGGCTGGGCGCCTCGGAACAGAGGAAAAGACCCGGTTTTGCCGTTCCTTGGCCTCTTCGCTTTTTTGCTTTGTGCTGGGCTCGACCGCGATCGTGTCATCGTGGAATCGTGTGGGTCGAGGATGGAGGTCTAGGGGCCTTGTTTGGGCCCCTGGGCGTCCCCGGGGGGGCCCGAGGCACGGCTTCCCCTCGGCGCCCCGCGCCGCCCGTCCTGCGTGCAGCTGGCTCGCTGGCCCCCTGCTCTGCCCACCCCGCCAGGGCGAGCGGAATCCGCCACAGCGGCGCGTGGGGGTTTGGAGCCGGCTGGGGATGTGAGGTGGCAAGAATATAGCTGCTGCTACTATTACTGTTACTTCGTTCGTTAGTTGGTCCTTAGTTAGTATTAGTAGTAGTAGTAGTAGTAGTAGTAGTAGTAGTAGTAGTAGTAGTAGTAGTAGTAGTAGTAGTAGTAGTAGTAGTTGTAGTATTAGTAGTAGTAGTAGTCGTAGTAGTAGTAGTAGTAGTAGTAGTAGTAGTAGTAGTAGTAGTAGTAGTAGTAGTAGTAGTAGTAGTTGTAGTAGTTGTAGTAGTAGTAGTGTTAGTAGT